ATCAATGTTGAAAAATAGAGAACCCTTCACAGACTTATTTGCCTGTCCTCCTTGTAGAGGGGCTTCTCTCTATCATTCCAATTTTAGTATAAGTTCTGCCAAAGAGAGTACTGCAGAACCTTTTTCTAAAGAATAACTTTTTTGTAGATTCACATACAGCTGCCACAAATAGTTCAGAGGTTTCCTGTACTCTTCGCTGAGTTTCCACATTTCACCTGCATAACTGTAGTCCGGTGTCCCAGCCAGGAAGTGGCTGCTGGTATAATCAGCTGACCTTATTCAGACTTCACTGTCTTGGAGAGTGCTGATGCCAGAAGCTAATCCTGATCTGTTGAATCAGAATTTCTAGGAATTGGTGCTAGGCTTTTGATACTTTCAAAAACTCATTGTGGATTTTGTGAGTTTTTGCTTGCTTGTTTATTTTTCATAATTTGTTTTTGTCCTTAGGACTGTCCATTGTTGTTAGGTGCCATTGAGTTGAGTATGACCCGTAGCAACCCAGTGGACATTAGATCTGAACTCTGACCTTTCCTGTGCCATCTGACACACTAGAGCCCATTGCAGCAGTCACTGTGTCAGTCTGCCTTTCTAATCAACATGTTACTCTCCAAGGAACAGCCTCTCCTAGCAAAATGCTTGAAGTGTGTGAGGCAGAGCTTTGTCATCTTTGCCTCCAAGAACCACTCTGCCTGCACTTCCTCCAAGACCTATTTCTTTGTTCTCTTGGCCATCCGTGCGATGTTCAGTGCTTTTCTCCAGCACCACAGCTCAAAGGGGTCAATTCTTCTGTCGTTCTTATTCATTGTCCAGCTTTCAGATGCATAGCAAGTGATCAGAAAAAACTGTGGTCTCACTCAGACACACCTTAGTCCTTAAACTGACATCATTGCTCCTCAATAATTTGGAGAGGTCCCAGACTATCCAAAACAAAGATTGGCCATCCACTTGTTAAATAATAGGCCTCTGAAAACCCCATGAACAGTAGAGGAGCATAGATAGTTATAACTGGACATCATTTGAAATGCGGAAAAATGGTGGCAAGCATCTTTTATTAATTTAGATTATCTGTAGACCAGGAAAAATAAAAACCGTCAAGTCTCCAGTTTTTATACCTATAATTCACTCACATTGATTCTATTCTTGGAGTTACAGTCATTCTTACCTTCCTTTATTGAGTTATCCCTCCTCTGTTAACAGATGTGCTGTCCCCTAAAGGGAGCATTCATTCAGTCCCTCTGAAACCCCACTGGAGGGTCAGCTAGAAATCATTTCCAACTTACTGGTTGTGCAACAGCAGTTGCCCCTCAAGTTCCTGTCTTACTGTTGTGAATTGTCCTCTTTGTAGATAAATCTTAAAAGAGCATAATGCTCAAGACGGATACTCTTTTCTTATTAAGCTAAACTATTGTTTTGTTTGATTTTATTTTTTTGTTCATTCGTTTTTTTTTCACATTTCCCTCCTTCCCCCTCCCCCAGTCCACTTTGCAATGCACCTCGTGTTCCAGATGTCATAATTAGAATATCTAATCATTTATTAAGGATCTCTGGGGACCTAGAGTAGCTGCACTACACCCCAGAGGCATGTGATTCGAGGCCACCCACTAGCTGCTCCGTTGGACCAGGATGGGCGGTCTCCTCCCCTGTGGTTAACTCTCTCTGAAAACCCACCGGAGGGTTAACTCTGGATCGGTTCTGACTCTACAATACACACAGCCAGCAATCATTTATTCCTTTCAGACAGTCCTTCCACGCATGTGCTCCAGTGCAGTGTTCATTAACTATCCATTTTTTTCCTATTTTCTCCTCAACCTCACATATCATTATTCTATAACAGTGGTGTCATGTGTTATTTTTCCTCTTATGACTGAGGTATTTCACTCAGTGTAATGTCTTCCAGGCTCACCTAGGTTGTGTAATGCTGTATGAGTTCTTTGATTTTAAAAACTGCATAATAAAAAAAAATTAAAAAGAACCCCAAAACTGCATAATATTCCATTGTGTGAATGTACCATAGTTTTTCTATCCATTTATTTGTTGATGTTCACTTGGGTTGCTTCCATCTCTGCTTTTATTGTGAATAATGCAGCAATAAACATGGGTCTGCAATACGTCTGTTTGAGTCCAGATCAGGTTTCTTTAGGGTGTCTTCCCAGTGATAGAATTGCTGAGTTAAATGGTAATTTTCTTTTTCCAACTTTTTGAGAAAGCACCAGATCTCCGTCCGTAATGGGTGCACCATTTTACTCTCCCACCAACAACGGGTAAGGGTTCTAGTCTTTCCACAATCTCACCAGCATTTGTTGTTTGCTTCCCTGTTGAACATTGTTATTGTTGCTGGGGTGAAATACCATCTCATAGTTGTTTTGATAGCCATGGATTTTGAACATTTCTTCATGTGTTTGTTTGCCGTCTGAATGTCTTCTTTGGTGAATTATCTATTCATGGCAATTGGGTTTACTTTTTTTCCTTGATGAGATGCTGGAGTATGCTATAAATTCTGGATATGAGTTCTTTATCAGATAAGTCATTCCCAAATATTTTTTCCCAGCTTGTGAGTTTCCTTTTTACCTTGTGGGGTAGTTTTTTGACATGGATAAGGATTTGATTCTTAAATTATTTCATTCATCTATGTTGTTTTCTCCTGGTTGTAGCTTTTCATTGTGTTTGGAAATATGTTCAAGCTATGGATTAGTACTTCTAGACTTGTTCGGAGCTAAACTGTTTTTTAACCCTGGTGGTCCAGTGGTAAGAGGTTGTACTGCCAAACAAGAACCAGGTGGTTCAAATCCACTAGCTGCTCTAAGGGAGAAGGATGGGCAGTCTCCCACATGCAGTTTACAGCCTCTGAAAAACCACTGTCAGCTATGAGTCAGTTCCATCTCACACAGCAACAACATTGTGGTTTTTAGAAGACTCATTTTTTTGGTTGATGGCATTTTATAGTATTAATAGGCCCTAACTTATGTTGTTTTATTATATAAAGAAAATTTTTATTTTATACTGGTTTACTTACAAAGTTTGTATACATTGTTTTTCACACCAAGTCATTCCATTTCCTTTACCCACCCCTCCCTCCACCCATCAAATTGTGCGACCCTATAATTAACCACCCACCCCTCCCCCCTGCCCGTTCTCACCCCTCTGCTCACCCCCACCTTGGATCCTAATACACATTCTACAATAGTGGTCTTATACAGTATTTGTCCTTATGGAACTGAGTTAATTCACTCAGCATAGTACTCTCCAGTCACTCCCAAGTTAGGTAGTGATTTAAAAAATTACAACTGCATGCTGTGTAGTATTCCATCGTGTGACTGTACCATCATTTCTCATTCTGTTGAGTTATGGTTGGACATTTGGGCCATTTCCATTTTCTTGCGATGGTGAATCCAAACTAACTTTTAGTACATACAAACATTTTTAAAATGCACAAATCATGAAAATTTACTTTAATGATGAAGAGTTGGGTACATTCTGTGAGTTACAGTAATAACTCTGCTCATGGAAGGTTCTGGATTATTGCAGTTTTTCTTAGGAATGAGAATGCCTTGCTCCTCAGAATGTGGTGTTAGTAGCCTGTACGGACCCCTTCTTTCTTCTTGGTTAACATCTCACTGTTTCTGGATTGCTTGTCAAACTTAATGACATGATCAGCATTTGAGTCCACCTTCTCAAGTAGCTGAGCCCTTGGTTCACTTTAGAAAATAAAATCTATACAACAGTGTTTTAAATAGTAAATCATAAAGCTGAACATCTACAAGTGAACACCAGCAGATGACAGCATCAGGAAACGATAGCCCATGATAGGTGTCATGCATGCTACCAACAATAAGATTGTAAAAAAAATAAAAAACATGAATGGCCCTAAGTATAGTTTATCAGAACTTGACTATGGTTATCATATGTTAGAAGAAGAATGTCATCAGTGCTGTCTGAGGACCCTTCATGGACAAACTGTCTAATTTTACCTAATCTGTAGTTACGCATCTGTTTGACTGATGAAAAAGACCCTTTCGGAGTAGATTCAAATAGCATGCATTGGCCAAAAGATCAGAGAAAAGGAATTTTGTCCTTGGTGCTGAATGGCCCAAGTCAAAGTCAGCACACCTATAGGTGTTAAGGACTGCCACTTGGAAAGGCAGCTTTTAAAACTCCCGATATGGACTCTAGACTCCTGCCACAACTTTAAAATGGAATTAAAGGTCACCTTTCTGCCGTATTTTACACACAAGCCCAGTGCCCCTATTCTCGACTCTCATATACAGTGCGGAAGCCTCTCTTCGTGCTAGCACTGATCCAGTAAGTCTGAAATGCACGTGCTCTTTTTTTCTTGTGTGTTGACAGCCTTCATAAGCTAATCTGCATTATTTACAAAAACTTGGTGAGGACTGCCCTTTTGTGTTTTTAACTACAGAAGAAAAAAATTAACAGCTCTTTAGCAGAAAGGTGGATTCAGTCTTAACTTTATTAACTGCGTAAGGAGCTCTGGTGGCCTAATGGCAAGAAGCTGCACTGCATTTGCAGAGGTGTGCAGTTTGAATCCACCAGATGCTCTGCTGGAGAAGGAGGAGCAATCTCCTCTTGTACCAGTCAGATCCGATTTGACGGTATACACACAAAATAATAAAAATAAAATAAAATTATTAACTGTGAAAGGTGCATTTCAGTTGCCAACTTGCTTAAATTGCATAAAATGTGTCAGTAATCGTCTGATCCTTAGAACATGTACATTTTATGTGTAAGTATCATGTAGTTTTTTGGGGATTTTTTTCAAGTATCATAGAGTTTTGACTCTTGCTTATTGAACTTGGGAAAATAAAATTGTTACCTATTCACTGTTGAAGAGTCTCTTAGATTTTCACAACAGTCTTTAAGAAACTAAACAAAGGTTAAATTCATTTTACTAAAGGTACGATTTCATAGTTTTCAGTTCACTTTGTACTTAATTAATGCAAAGCTGTGACTGGGCAATTTAGTAATGAAAAACACTTCTCTTACAGGTATTCGCAGTTTTACATTGAAGATAGCTTTTGCCATTATAACATGTTTAATCATCATTTCTTTGATGGAAAGGTAAGATTTCTTTGGCCATCATTGGAAAAGCAAATTCAGCCCTTTTGCTATTTCTTTCAATTTCTCAGACATGAAATTGAGACTGTCCCGTTCTTTCCTGATGCTCATTTTTCTTCATTCACCTCGTTTCTTGAATCCCTGGGAGTGATTATGACTTCCCACTGCAGAGGGGATGAAGACCTGCATCTCTCTGCAGGCCTGTGCAGCTCTATGTGATCTCAGCTCTTGCTTTCTCTCCATCCTCTCTGTTCCCAGCTTCCCTTTCCTGTGTCTGTTCAGAGCATCCTGAACTGACTGTATCTCGTTTCCTTCTGCCTCTGTTCTTCCTTTTGCCTTTTACTGTCTAATTGTCCTGTGGATTTGAACTTCCTGTCCAGAGCTCTGTTCAGGCATCACTTCCTTCAGCCTGCTCCCACCCTCAGACAAGTTTATCTCTTGTAGACTTGCTAGTTGCCATTGACTCGACCCTGCCTCATGGCATGTGTCAGAGTAGAACTGTTCTGTAGGGGTTTTGTTGGATATGATCTTCCAGGAGCAGATCACCAGGCCTTGCTTTTGAGGTGTCTCTGGGCAGGTATGAACTGGCAACCATTTTTTAAGTAGTCAGGTGCTTAACCATTATACCACCCAGCTACTCCTTTGTAGACTTATCGTACTATAAAGAAAAATTTATTCTATAGTTAATTGTTTGAAGCTCTGTCTCACATACTGTGGGCACATGACCAGGAGAGACCTGTCCTTGGAGAAGGACATCATGTTGGAAAGAGTGGGGGGACAGCGCAGGAGAGGAAAGCCTCCAATGAGATGAATTGATACAGTAACTGGATCATTGGTGATTGGTGTGTCGGAATTAGTGAGACTGGCTCAAGACAGGGCAGAGTTTAGAGCTGCTGTAAATAGGGCCGTTAATGGGTCACAGGTGACTTGATGGCACATAACAAGTTAATTGTTAAGTGTCCCTCTGATAAATACCATATCCCACTTAAGATTTATGGCTTTGGAATTATCCATATAGCTCACTTGAAATTTAAGATTAATAACTTACTGATCTGTAAAGGAGATCAGGAGATGTATTGCACTGGAAAAGTCTGCCATCAGGGACCTCTCCAAATTATTGAGGAGAAGTGATGTTATTTTTTTTGAGAACTAAGTTTTGCCTGATTCAGGCCATGGTCTATTCAGTCATTTGCTATGCATCTGAGAGCTGGACAGTGAATAAGGATAACAGAAGAAGAATTAATGCCTTTGAGCTGTGGCATTGGAGAAGAGTACTGAATATCCCATGGACTGCCAAAAGAACAAATAGATATGTCTTGGAGAAGGTGCAGCCACGGTGCTCCTTGGAATAAAGGATTGTGAAGCTTCATGTCACATACTTTGAGCATGTTACTAGGCAGGGTTATTGCTTGCAGAGGTACGTCATGCGTGGAAAGGTGGACAGACAGTGAAAGAGAAGAATACCCTCAACCAGCTGGAGTCACACAGTGACTGCAGCAGTGAGCTCGAGTGTGTCAGAGATTGTGAGGAGGCACAGGATAGGACAGTTCAGATCTGTTGTTCATGGGTTGCTATGAGTAGTACTCAGCTTGATGGCACAAAACAGCAGCCATCTGTGAAGAAATGGAAAGGTGGGTTAAAAAAATGCTGCTTTCCATCTAAGGCTGATAATGTCACTGTAAGTAAACAATGTAAGTGAGGTGCTACTTATAGTTTGAGCTCTTTGTCAGAAATATGGAAAAAAAAGCCATCACATCTGCCAGAAAGTTGACCAACACTACTTTGAAATAACCAAGAACACTTCTTGAAGTGTGTGTGTGTAAAAATTTTATTTTTTAGAATTGTGGATTATGCTCTAAGTATATATTGTGCTTTGACATATTAGCTAGTGATAAAATGAAACAAGGTTTTTAGCAAGACTTAAAAAAGCCAGCATTCAGGATTTGAAAACAAGTTCTCAGTTGTTGGTTGGGATTGAAAAGGAATCTTCTTCATTAGTAAGTATAGGCAATGATGTATTCCTTTCGTTTGAGTCAGTTCAGCTTGGAGAGCTCTATGCCTCAGCCATGATAGCCATTAAAATGGGATATTGACATAAACAGTAGTTAGAATTAGATGTCTTTCACCATTTCCCAAAAAGCTTGTGTGGGTGATAATCACTAGAATTTCAGAACTGATTAGCTGAGAGTGAAGGAATGCAGCGAGTGGAAAATCACTTGACAAGAGATGCTGAGGCTCCCTTCGCTCAGCCAGGACCAGGGAAGTGGGGCACGGAGGAGAGGGGTGAGCTCTGTGGGCATTTCACAGGCAGCCACATGAAGATTGAGTGGTCAGGTGGACTGGGAAAAGGCAGGGACGACTTGCTGACAACGCAAAGCTCTTGCTTCTTTTGACTGTCGACTTGGAACTGACTCATAGCTGACCCTTCCAGCATCACAGTAATATGCAAGCCACCACAGCAGGGCAGACTGGCAGGCAGGGGATGGGGGTAGCCCTGTTTGTTGTTGTTGTTGATTGCCTTCGAGTCAAGCACGTCTCATAGAGACCCCATGAACAAAAGGCCTGAAACCCCTCTACAACTATTGACATTTATCAAGGTTCACAGAGTTTCTGGAGGCATGTTATTTAGGAAGTGGATGTCGCTTTTGCTTCCAAACATGTCATAGTATGTTTGTTATGTACCATTGAGTTGTCTACAATGTATAGCGACCCTATGTACAGCAGCTCCGAACCCTGCTCTATCCTAAGCCAGTCTCACTAATTCTGACACACCAACACCCATTGCCCCAGTCACTGTATCAGTCCATCTCATCCAGAGTCTATCTCTCCTGGCCACGTGCCCAAAGTAAGTGAGACAGAGCTTCAAAATCCTAACCTCCAAGGAGAGACTTGGTTTCACCCTCTCCAAGTCAGACCTATTTGTTTTCTTGACAGCCCTGATAGAGAATATATAGAGTGGTACACAGAAAATCAGTGTTTTAATGTTTTTAGTATCTTCCATTCCTTTTTTTCTCCCTGAATTCTTTTGTTTGTTTTTTTTAAATTATTTTTAATTGATTTTTTTTTCTGTTAACTTTTGTTAAAGTCTTCCATTTCTTACCTACTCCATGAGCCAAGTTTTTCAGTAGAGATTTACTATCTGCTCACTAGAGAGCTTTGGTGGTTTGGTGGGTAAGAAGTGGTGCTGTCAGCCCAAAGACAAGCAGTTCAGATCTACCAGCTGCTCTGTGGGAGAAGATAGGCAAAGTGTCCTCTCGTGTGACTTAAAGCTTCTGAAAATCTGCTGAAGGGAAGCTATGCTTTGGTTCCAACTCAGTGGCAATGAGTAGAGTTGTTGAATCAATCACTAGGGACCTCTGGTGGCCTAACAGGTAAGGTGTTGAGCTCCTAACCAAATGGTTTATCCCTTTTCCTGTTAAAATGTATAGCTGTGGAGACCTGATGTGGGGTCATCATAAATCAATCAATTTGACATCAATGAGCTTAGGTAAATTAGTCACTAAATATCTCCAGATGTGAGTCTGTAGGTTTTATAAACAGAAGTTTTGGTGATTGAAAATGAATTCTCATTCATTCTAGGCAGCCCTTGAAGAGTGCAGGGCATTTTTGCAGGAAGATAAAGGCGACGGGGTCATTATGGTGACAGATCCTCCATTTGGTGGCCTGGTTGAACCTCTGGCTGTTACATTTAAGAAGTTAATTGCTCTGTGGAAAGAAGGTCAAAACCAAGGTACGTAACTTAGGACTTACTGCGAGATAAACTTGCATCCCACTTCCTGTCAAGTATTAGCAGAGCCTGTGAATCAGCGCTGATCTTGAGGGCAGACCTTTTCCAAACAGGCTTATTTGGTGATGTGGCACATTTCATTACCACGTTACACTTGGGGGTACCCCAGTGTTGTATTTTTAAATAGCATGTAGGTAAAAGGTTAGTTCATGGGCATAGGGGGCGTTACGAAGTCTAGATTCTTAGGAGGGCTCCCAGACTCTGGCTCAGCCGCTAGACTGTGTCAAGATTGGGATTGGAGGGCCGAGGTCCAGTAGCCTGACTGAGGAGTGTGGTGACTCAAGGCCTGTTAGTCTTCAGTTTAAAGATTTTAGAGTGTTTATAAAATGCCTGGTCAGCACAGTCATGTGTTAATTTCTCCCACATTGATGCTTTATGAGTGTTAGGTGCTCAGTCTTCTCTAAGAACCCCATGGAAGCCGTGTGTTCTGGGAATGGAATGCAACACAGAAACCTCACTCATGTTCAGAAGTGTGTCACTTACTTTTTCTAAAGTCCAGTCATCAGAGTGGATTCAATCTGTTGTTGAAGCAGGAAGAAAGCACTTTGTGGTTTTGCATTCCAGTCCTGCCACTGACCAGTGTGACCTGAGCATATGAACATCTGTGACTTCCATTTTCCCATTTATAAAATGAGCTCCTTAGTATCTTAACTAAGGACCATTTTAAGGAGACAATATTATAGAACGTATCTAGCATAGTACATTGGCTATTCTGAGTGCTTTATAAATAAAAGATCTAGGATGCCCTGCTGCAAAGAAAAATTCATTTTGGTAAGATTGTTTTTAATAATCCTTCACATTTCCTAAAATTAATTCATCCCTGGAAACCAGAGTCGTGAGATGTGGCAGAAGTGGGACTTAGACCCAAAGCCTCTGTGTCCTGGCTGTCAGGGCGGATGCAGTCCTGTGCCCCATTGTGGACATTTTGTACGGAGGTGCCTGCTAGTTGAAGATAACACTGTCCACCTGTCACATGTTCCATTCTGTGCTAGAGCTAGCCTGCCGGTGAAGGTCACTCAACTTGGGCCAATGTTACCACTTCTGCTTCAGATAATGACCTTGGCCACTGAGTACTGCCTGTTCCCCCTGCATACTAGTTCCTGAAGCTTGTCAGTGCTGCAGGGGGTGTTGGTGACAGTGAAAGGGTGGGCTTGGAGGCAGTGACCGTGTAGGCTGAGAAGTCAGCATGTTTGCCCTGACACTCAGCCTTTCTTGCCCTTTAATTATTGTTCTGGAGACTTGAATAAATGTTTAGACTTCCACACGGTGTGGGACTGGCCAGGCAGCCCATTTCCCACCAGGGTAACCATGTGGGGATAGAATCTGTTTCATTGTATGAGATGGAAGTTTATTGTATCACTGCCATTTATGCTGATACCAGAAGTTTCTTCAATTATAGTTGGCTGTTTTATTTTGGATTTACCGCCAGTTTCTGATCCCCTTCCCGTTTTTGTCTTTCTTGGGAATCCACCAGGTGACAGTTGCAGAGAACTACCGATTTTCTGGATTTTCCCCTATTTTTTTGAATCTCGAATTTGCCAGTTTTTCCCAAACTTCTGTATGCTCGATTACCAGGTATAGTATAGTAAATGTTCGGCTTTCTGACATGGTTGGGAATAGATATTCTGCTTAAGCAAATCTTCTTATAAGACTCCTCATCATTTCTCAGTAAATGAAAATACTGCGTGCTATAGTAAATCCTAAAATCATGTCGTACATACTTTAGTCCAGTTGTTTCCAAATGTCTTTAATACTGAGTGTGTTAAAAAGTAGATAACAGAGCACTCACTCAGTCTATAGCAAAATAAAGCTACTTAGTCAACATCAGATGGTGAGTCCTAGGAAGATATGTATGTGTGTGTATATTATTATATATATTTTACATGTATATACAATACATATATGCATTAGGAACGTCTGCTATCAGGGAACTCTCCAGAGTACTGAAGAGCAACGATGTCAGTGGCTTTATTGGAGACTAAGGTGTGCCTGACTCAGGCCATGGTCTTCACAATCAGAAATCTGGATAATAACTAGGGATGTTAGAAGGGGAACTATGCCTTTGAGCTGTGGTGCTCCACAAGAGTATAACACGGACTGCTATGAGCCGCAGGTGACTTGATGGCACATAACAACCACATGAGAAAATGCATGGAAAGGCTTAGCAGTCATCAAAGTTGTGGCTATTGGCATTGTCAGTGCTACTATCATTGTACGGAGACTGCAAAACTTCATGACCCAAAGACCCTCAGAGAACCACTGAATCCCCATCCACAGAAGAAGGCTGGACAAGAGCTGGAAATGACAAGGAGGCAAAAGAAGGCAGATGGAGGATAAATTAGATGTTCAGAGAAGTTAAGTAAAATGACCAGTTCTCATTTGTTCTGCAGCCTGTGTTGCTAGGAAAGGACTTTTGGAAATTTTAGTCATGAGGACCATGTTCAGGGTCCGCATTTTATTATACTGTAGAATTTATACAATTCAGTATCCTACTTAAACCTCATTTTGTGGTGTGGTGCCTTTTGTCCTTTTACCTTAGACTTCTTCATCAAATGAAAAACTGTCAGGACCCCTCTCCCTCGTCACTGATCTCACGGAGCCCTTGATTAGGTTGCCTCCTGCCACTGCCTGAGGTGATTATAAGCCCCTGAACCACAATGCCACGAAAAAACATAATCACCAGATCCCTCACTTCAAAATCCTTCTCAGGTGAGAGAAGAGAGGAAATGCTTCAAATCGTCATAAAATATAAATTATGTAGACACTTGAGTGATAAAGCAGTTGATGAGTACGGAATAAAAATAGTCATCAAAGCCCTGGAAAACCAAGGCAGATTAGAAAGGAAGGGTGTGATAATGCAGAATTCTGATTTGGAGGCAGAAGCTTGAATCATAGGGCTGTCTTTTAGAGCCTGGTTAGTTTTGAGAGAAGTTCTTTTCTCTTCCTAGCTCGGTTTCCTTACTTACAGAATAAAACAATTGAACCAGAACAGGGATGGCAGATGAGTTTCATGTCTAGTGCCACGCCTGACCAGTTGGTAGTGACTTTGTGGAGGACTGGTGGAGAGTACCAGGCTCACTGGCAATGAGGTGTGTGATTGATTAGTGATGTCTGCCAGGGTGCAGACTCGTTCCTACCATATCTGCACAAGGAGCTCTCCCAACCAACACTGTCTCTCCAACAGTTGTCATTTCTCAGTTCTACTTAATACATAATTGGCTTGCATGACCAAGAGGAGAGCTATTTACTTTTGTTTGTTCTCTCTCTCTTTTTTCACATCAGTTTGCATAAGAACTTTCATGTTTTTTCTGGCTTACGTTTCACTTACAGAAATATTGGGAAATGTTAAGATGTTGTGTTGTTGTTATGTGCCGTCGAGTCACTTGCAACTCATAGCAACCCTATGTACAACAGCCCTAAACTCCGCTCTGTTCTGTGCCAATCGCACTGTCTCTGACACTCCCATCCCAATTATCCCAGTCACTGAATCAGTCCACCTCATAGAGGGCTTTCCTCTCCTGCGCTGTCCCTCCACCCTCCCAAGCATGATGTCCCTCTAAGGACCGGTCTCTCCTCACAACATGTCCAAAGTATGTTAGACGGAGCCTCAGAATCCTTGCCTCCAAGGAGCCACCCAGTTTAACCCTTTCCAGGACAAATCTGTTTGTTTTCCTAGCAGTCCATGGTATTCTCAGTACTCTTCTCCAGCACCACAGCTCAAAGGCATCAGTTCTTCTATCCTCCTTGGTCATTGTCCAACTCTCTGATGCATAACAAGTGATTGCGAAGACCATGGCCTGTATCAGACGCACCTTAGTCTCCAGAGAGACACCATTGCTCTTCAGTACTTTGGAGAGGTCCCTAACAGCAGACTTTCCCATGGCAATGCACCTTTTAATTTCCTGGCTGCTGGTGCCAAGAGTGTTGACTGTGGAGCCAAGCAAACTAAAGCTGTGAACAATCTCAATCTCTTCACCATCCATCCTGATGCTGCCAATTGGTCCAGTGGTGAGAATCTTTGTCTTCTTGACATTGAGCCTCAATCCATATTGTAGATAGCAACTTTAATTCTTAAAACTCTTAATTCTTTCCATTCTTCTAATTCTTTTAATTCTTAAAATTCAAAATGAGAATAAACCATTTAACAGATTTGGAGTGAAAAGAAAGATTATTCTATAGCAAACCAAAATCCGCTGTTGTCAGTTTGATTCCAACCCACCGAGACCCTATAGGACAGAGTGGCACTGTCTTAGGGGGTTTCCAAGGCTGCCATCTTTACAAGGCAGACTGCTGCGCTTTCCCTTTGCAGAGCAGCTGGTACGTTCAAACTGCCAACCCTTAGTTAGCAGCTGAGAGCGTAACTGTTATGCCACCAAGGCCCTTATAGGAGGAGAGAGCGATGTTAAATAAGGTGCGTGACATGGGGAATTCAATGGAAAGATTTTATTGCTGTGGCAGAAATTGGTTGGCGGAGCTAAACCATGCACTTGGGACCTCTTTGAGTCCACGTAAATGAAATACAACCCAGTCCTTCGGGAGGACGGAAATGCAAGTGTTCTGTCTGACTTAATCTCTTTTTCTTGGCAACACACCTAGAACATAGTAGGTGCAAAAAAAATGTTTGTTGACTGGAACGCTTCAGCCTCGTGTCGCGGAAGGCATTTGTATATAGATAAAATTAAAAGTTATGAATTGCAGAGATTTGATGTTTTCCCTCATTTCTATACAGTACTTCATCACATTAATCAGTTCCACGGGAGAAATTTCCTATTTGAAAATGCCTCTCATCATCAATGTGAGTGAAATGTCAGGGATAATGACGGGCAAATGGTGTGTCAGCTTCACCACCAGTGATAGGCAATTTGCAGAATTGTGTTTGCTTTATAGTACTTCCACAGGAGGTTCATTTGTGTGGATAAAGCCCTGAAATACGGATGCATGTTCGAGGTACATTAATTTACCCTGGAAGCGTGCATTTTACATACCATATGTTTATAGTTAATTAGCACAACAAACCCACATTTAAAAATAATAATAATCTCAATTAAGTTATGCGAAATCAAGCAATCAACCACCTTCTGACACATACATTCGCTGACTCCTTGGGTAACCGCAAAGTAATTGTGTTTTGGATTTTTTTTTCCTCTCACTGTTCCATCTGCTATAATATTGTGAGGACTATTCTATAGACTAGACATCTTTCTAAAATATTCTTTTCCCACATCTGAAAAGCTTTGTAAGATTCTCTCGCAAAGGTGTTTTTTTCTTTGACACTCATAAATGCTGAAAACATCTTAGCAGAATTTAATAAAGAAACAGTTACTTAGTACATAGAAAAGTGTGTTAGGGAAAATTGTGAATCTAAATCATTTTAAAAGAAAGCTACTTAAGATACTATTTTGAGATTATTTTGAAGTCAAATCTGGTTTTGCATATTAATCTTTAATGCCCCCAAACAAATCTACTGTCACTGAGTTGATTCCAACGAGGGAGCTCTGGTGGCTTAACGGTTAGAAGCTGTGCTGCATACCCAAAGGCATGTGATTCAAATCCACCAGCTGCACTTGGCAGAAAGATGAGCAGGCTCTTAACATGTGATTAACTGTCTCTGAAAACCTGCTGAAAGGTCAGCTGTGGGTTGGCTCCAACATAACCGTTCACAACAACAGTGACCCTAGAGGGCAGAGTGGGACTGCCCCTTTGAGGTTGTAGTTGTTATGTGCCATCAAGTCACCTGTGCATAGCAATCCTGTATACAACAGTCCTAAACCCTCCTTTATCCTGTGCCAATCTTACTGCCTCTGACACACCTACTGCCATTACCCTAGTCACTGAGTCAGTATATCTCATCAAGAGTCTTCCCCTCCTGCACTGTCCCTCCACCCTCCCAAGCATGACGTCCCTGTCCAAGGACTGGTCCTGCCTTGCACCATGAGGTACTAAGCCTGTAATCTTTGTGGAAGCTGTCTGCCACATCTGTCTGCTGGAGCAGTTGGTGGATTTAAACTACCAACCTTTTGATTAGCAGGTGAATCTTAACTGCTGTGCTGCCAGGGTTCCTTATCTCAACACATTGCCACATTGCCATCAGGTCATAGCCAACTCATAGCTGACCCTCCAGAGGGTTTTCAAGGCTGTAATTTGCACAGAAGGAGATTTCCCATCTTTCTCCCGAGGAGCAGCTGATAGATTCCAACCATGGAGAGATGTAGTCTTTGTGTTAGCAGCATTGTTCCCTACAGACAGTGCCAGGCCTCCGTACATCTAACAAATAGCCCTAGAATTCTAAAGATACCAAGAAATACAAAGGTAGCCTAGGCTAACTTCCCAGTGTGAAAGTCTTCAATCAGGACGAGCAGTCCTCTGGTCTCACTCCAATGCCTGCCGTGGGCAGAGTGCGGCAGCCTTACCAGGCAGCTCAATTTATTTAATAGCCCTAATCGTTAGAAAATTTTCTCACATTGAGATAAAATATGTTCCCCATTAACTTCTAGCCATTGGTTCTAGTTCTGCTCTCTGCAGCAATAAAGGATAAGCCTAATTTTTATTCCACATGACACCCTTTCAGCCATAAAATAGCTATCTGATCCTCTTAGTCCTCCCCCAATTTGTTAAACTGTAAATTTTAGTTATTCCCATTATTTTCCATAAAAATGAACCAGTTTATTGAAGCTTCCTTTAATGCCCCCAAAAGTAAAGCTGTTGCTGTTGAATCTGTTCCCACTCAATTGCACCCCGTGTGTTTCAGAGCAGCCTGTTCTGTGGGGTTTTCTTGGTGGTAATTGTAATGGAAGGAGGGAGGTCTCCAGGCTTTTCTTCCTTGGTACGGGTAGCTGGATTAACACTGATAGTCTTTAGGTTAGTGAATGACTGCAAACTGTTGGTGCCAACTGGTTACCTTAATGACTGAGTATGAGTCTCCATCCTTGTGCTTTTCTGATGAAGAAGCTGCACTACAATCCCAAAGGCAAGCAGTTCAAGGCCATCAGCTGCTTCGCAGGAGAAGGATGGGCAGTCTCCTCCCATGTCATTAACTGCTTCTGAAAACCCACTGACTCTACGGTACACAACAGCAAGTGTTGGCGAGAAGTCCCCAGGAATTAATGGCATACCAATTGACGTATTTCGATGTGCTCACCAGACCATGCCAGGAGGTACAACTACCTGCCCAAGTGACTATTTATTCCCTTTCTGAAAACAGGTGATCTGACAGTGTGGAAGATACTGAGCAATATCACTAATACTACATGCAAGCAAAAATCCTGCGGAAGATCATCCAAAAAAGACCGAGACAGTGCATTAACAGAGAACTACCAGAAACATCAGCCAGGTGTAGAAAAGACCATGGCACTAGGGATCTCATCACAAAGGTCAAATGGATCTTGGCTGAAAGCAGAGAGTACCATCCTATTTGTGTTTCTTTGATTGTACGAAAGCATTTGTCTGTGTGGATCACAACAAATTGTTCCTAACTTTAACAAGAACAGGAATTCCAGAACACATGATTGTGGCTCATGCAAAACTTATACTTGGACCAGGAAACAGCCATCATAACAGAGCAAGGAAACACTGCATGATTCAAAATCAGGAAAAAAGACTGTGTCAGGGATGTGTCCTGTCTCCATACCTTTTTAGTCTATATGTGGAACAGATCACTTGGGAAGCTGGACTTTATGAAGAGGAATGTGACATCAGGATTAGAGGAAGACTCATCAACAACTTGCGTTATGCTGATGACACAACGTTGCTTGCCAAAACTGAGGAGAACCTGAAGCATTTATTGCAGAAGGTCAAGGACTGTAGTCTGCAGTATAGTTTGAAGTTCAATATCAAGAAAATGAAGATTCTCACCACTGGGCCAATTGGCAGCATTGTGCTAGGTAGAGATTTAGATTGTTTATAATTTTGGCTTGCTTGGGTCCATAATCAAAACACTTGGCATCAGCAGTCAAATCAAAAGATGAATTGCATTAGGAAAATCTGCTGTCAGGGACCTCTCCAGAGTGCTAAAGAGCAACAGTGTTAGTCTGGAGACCAAGGTGTGCCTGATCCAGGCCATGGTCTTTGCAATTATTTGTTATTTGTCAGAGAGCTGGACAGTGACCAGAGATGACAGAAAAAAATAACTGATGCATTTGAGTTGTGGTGCTGGAGAGGAGTATCAGATATGCAATGGACTGACAAGAGAAATAACATGTCTCACTTGGAGAGGGTGAAGCCAATCTGTTTCTTGGAGGCAAGGATTTTGAAGCTCCAACTCACATACTTTAGGCATGTTACCAGGAAGGGCCAATCCTTGGAAAAGGACATCGTGCTTGGAATGGTGGAGGGACAGCATAGGAGAGGAAGATCCTGGATGAGATGGATTGACAGAATAACAGATAATGAAGGTAGACATGTCAGAGACAGTAATACTGATTCAGTATAGAGCAGGGTTCAGGGCTATGAGTAGTGGTCAACTCAACAACAAGTGACAACAAATAATAAGTGAACCTTGGTAGTAAAAATTTTCATATTAAATGCTTTGACTTAGCCTGTACCTTGCTATCCATATGTTCATTTCTTGGCTACAGGATCTTAATGAATATTGACTAATTTGAGTAAATTTTTGTCTTTCTCGCACTCCTGGAAAATCTCTAGGTAGATTATGAAAACCATGCACAGTATAAACATGGAAAGACAGGTCGTCGACAGTCTCCTGTGCGGATTTTCACAAACATTCCACCTAGTAAAATAATCCTTCCAACCGAAGAAGGGTACAGGTAAGATCACAGTGGGGCTTGAATAGAATGAATCACTGAAAAAACAGAACATGCAGCAAGGGAAATAGTAAGAACGCGCACGCTTTGTGGAGGATGTAAGCGATATCGCTGGGCAGCTGGTGCAAGAATTGCTGAACAAGGTGTAAACTAGTGAGCAAAACTAAAAATAATAATATTGTTTTTCCAAAAAGAAAACACCTCTTTAAAAAGAAGATGCCTTTAATGCTTATTGTTCACTCATGTATGTCATTGATTAATTTTCAGTTTGGCCCACAGTGTTGTATTGAGTTGTGTTTAGATTATATCCAGTTTTTCTGATAGATGTCTTATAAACTTGGATCTGCTCTGTTCCTCTCAGTGATGTCTTGGCATTTGTTTCTTTATTCTAGATTTTGCCCTTTGTGCCAGCGCTGTGTTTCTTTAGAGAATCGACACTGTGAACACTGTAATTCTTGCACATCCAAGGTACGGCATTCTTCTAGAATATGTGCTTATAGTTTTCTTTGAACTTACTAATTTCATTTGTTTGCAGCTATCTTTGTTAATACTTTAATTTGCATCAGTATGTGTATTCATTGTTTAGTTCTACTTTAAATATATAGTTATAGAGGTCAGTAGGCTTTTTGAAAACACATAATTGCCTTCATCATCTTTAGTTCTTTGAGTTCATTTTTTTATAGTAGTGTGTGACTGTTAAAATGTGTGAGTGTTTCAGATAAGTCACTGAATGAGTGCTCAATTTGTATATGCACGTGTGTGTGTGTATAAAATTACACTTGTGTGTTTCATGTAAGGCATTGAGTAATAACAGCATATATTATGCAAGTCTATGTGTAGAACCTTTCCAGAAGCTTCTGTATGAATTGACTCATTTCATGCTCACAACAGTCATACGAATTAGGTACAGTTACTCCCTGCTTTGTACACAAGAGAGAAGGCTGAGGAGACAAAGCAATACAAAAGGACAAACCAGTTGTCATCAAGTCACTTTCTACCCATGGCACCTCCTATGTGCAGAGAACTGTGTTCCGTAGAATTTTCAAGCCTGGAACCTTTTGGCACCAGATTGCCAGGCCTTTCTTCTGAGTCACCAGGGGGTAGGTTTGAACCACCAACTTGCCACCTAGTCAAGTGAGTGACAGTTTTGCCACCCAGGAACTCCAGACAAGGAACATACCTCTATTGCTTAAGAAACTGAAGTTTGTTTTCTTTTTAACTACATCTGGGTAGAAAGGGCATGTGAAGCTTAATTTGCCACACTGGCACAAATCATTTCCCAAAGAAAAGATTATATTTAAGTAACTGCTAGAAAGTATATTTCTTCTTCTTGTGTAATCATATTACAGTAATATAATTTACCTGTGTAGCACATGGATTGACATATTCTTTCAGTTAGCTTAGAAATTGTCCACATACTTCATTTCTATAGATTACATCTATATTATATAATGTTCAAAATGGATAGAACAAAAATAATAGAATTTAAGGATTGTACTAAGAACAAGGGCAATGTGAAGGCAGCAAGAGGACAGCTGAATCTGACTTCTGCTAATTCCACAATGAGTACCTGCCCGCATCAGTAACATCCACAACACAAAACTAATACCCAAAAGATCAGGTATAGCCCCCCCCCCCGCCCCAAACACTCCTGCACCTCTTCCTACTAATTCTAGCACCAGTCCTACTGCCCTACTGGATCAGAATTCCATTATAGTAGCTACACAGACGTCACAGAAACATAGCATGATTACAGAGTTTATAAGGGAAGTTAACAGGCCCAATTCAGCAGGAATAATCCCTCAGCCCAGATAGCTTCTCAAGCGTGACAGGCCCTTTGACTTTCAGCCTTAAGGTTAAGGTCAGTGTTACAGAGTTCCCTCAGTCCTCCAGAGAGCTTGTGTGAAAGCCTCTGCCTCTGGCTCCATGGGTAGCAGAACTCAGGTCACTTCTGTCTCACTTTAGGCCTCTGGTTCTTTGCTGTGGTTCAGGAATCTCTGTTCCTGAAATACATATGCTGCTGCAGAATCCACCCAATTTAAAGGTGAGATTAGACATAATCTTACATAGGTAAACCAAGTCTGACCAGTTAGTTGATAGATTAACATGTTCTCTTTGCCCCTCCATGTGGCAAAGTCAAACTCAGTGGCTAGAAAAGGAATTTTGAACAATAAACCCTTGACACCACATAGATGCCCATGTAGGCCGTAAAAGGAAAAGCTAGGTATTACCACAAAAACTCAGCTAGGTGTTACTTAGTGAAGAAGAAATTCTGGGGTTGTGAAGGAGCCCATGGAATGGTGTCTGGGGACCTCATGAGAGTCTGTTTCTTGACTTGTTGAGCTTTTATCAGTTTCTGTTTTATAATATATGTAATCCCTGACTAAGGGAGCTCTGGTGGCCTAGAGAGTAAGGTGTTGTGCTGCCAACCCAAAGGCAGGCAGTTCACATCCACTCTAGCTGCCCCACCTGAGGCATTGACAGTCTCCTCTCATGCAGTTTGCAAGCTCTGAAAATCTGCTGGAGGGTCCACTGTGGGTCAATTCCAACTGGATGGCACATAACAGTAACAGTCCCTATCTTACCAACTACCTGTTTTGGTTACTCTTAGTGTTAATAACCCAGCCTCCAAACAGCACTGAAGCACGTAATTTGCTGATGTTGTTGTTCTCATGTGTTCACTTGCAGATGTTCATGTTACGAATTACTGTTCAAAACAATTCCATATAATGGGCTAGAGCAATAATAATGGAAACAAAAAATATATATTTCATTTATGACTTCCTTGCAGTGAAACCCTACCCAAGTTAGAAACTGCCTATACTTGTTATCTCCACAAATATGTTTTATATACACTTTCCACAATATGCTTTAGTTCACAGATTTCAGATTAACCGAACAGTAATCCGTAGTCTCTGCCTGAATTACATACATTTATCAGATTTGACTTTTATTGTAAGATGTACAATATGGATCCCAATAGTTATCATTCATTCTTTTGAAATTTCTGGTGAGTCTTTTCCATGCAGATTGGCTTGCTGTAACTAGCGTGGACTTTGATGCGCCTTGAGAGAAATCTCCTAGTTTCGTAGTTAAGGAACCTGAGGCTTAAGCAAGGAAACTGATGAGTTAAGTGGAGAAATGCATAAACTAAATCAAAGTATTTAATTGTGAAGCCCAGGAAAATGAGAAATAAGGATGAATAATTTACATATATTTTAATAAGACATTTTAATTTTTAATGGTAGAAGCAGATTTTTAATGACAGATTAAACATAATTTAAAAATTGTTTTTGTAGGATGGCAGGAAATGGAATCATTGCTTTCTCTGCAAAAAGTGTGTAAAGCCTTGTAAGTATCAAGACTTGGTCTTTGGGAGTCTTTGAGATGTTTTAGAGTTTTTCTTCATCCTACACAATTTTTACCTTATTGTACTTAGAAAAGGAGACTTGCTTTCATTTACTCGTTTGTAAGATTTACAGTTCTGCATGTTCTCCTTCACTCAGAGTGCTCTCAGTTCTCTCCTTTCTGGGGATGAGGGGTGTGATTCTGCTAGATTATTTCAGTGGAGAAAATGATTTGCCTTATTTAAGCAGATGGGGAGCTCTAGTGGGCTAATGTGTGAAGAATGGTGCTGGCAACCCAAAAGCAAGCAGTTTGAGTCCACCAGCTGTTCTGCAGGAGAAAGATGGGCAGTCTCCTCCCCTGTGATTTACAGCCTCTGAAAACCTGCTGGGTGGTCAGCTATGAGTTGATTCTTACTCTGTGCCAATGAAAAATTGAGTTAATTTAAACAGGACAGGTGTTATAGTGAAATGTACAAAGAGGGAACTGTGAAACCAAAAGGGAATACCACTGCTCTATGTTTTTCAAGTTGAAAGACTTGAAGGGAGAATTGGAATTCAAGTTGCAATCACTGTTGATCAAAATAATGAATGACATAGGAAACATGAAAAGATGATGGAAGTAATACACAGAAGCACTGCATCAAAAAGAATTGGTCAATGTTCAGCCATTACAAGAGGGTGCATGTAATTAAGGGCTGATACTGTTGAACCAGTAGTGTTAAAGAAAGATTCCATGCTCTGGAGGCATTGGTGAAATACTAGAAATTCCGAACTTGATGAATACCAATTTAGATCAAGCTGGAAGCATGTATTCTTCTGTGCCAAGAAATTTGGAAAACAGATACATGGGCAGCTGACTGAAAGAGGTCTGCATTTGTGCCCCTTCAAAGGAGAGTGACCCGACCAAATGCAGAAATTATCAAGTAATACTACACACAAGTAAAACTCTGCTGAAGATAGAGGAAAAACATTTGCAGCCGTACATCAGCAGTGAACTTGCAGAAGTTCAGGCCAGATTCACTGGATTACATGGAACATTGTGTCATTGTTGACTCCAGATAGGTCTCGACTGAAACCCCCCACCCGAAGATGTAATTTGTCCATGTCCCACTGATTGCAGATCCCAGGAAAATCATTCACAACTTCAGGCTTTTCTCCATGTATCACGATGTTACCTATTGGTCCATCTGTGAAAAATTTTTGTTTTCCTTATGCTAAAATGTAATCCATACTGGAGGCAATGGTCTTTAATCATCAATAAGTACTTCAAGTCTTCTTGGATTTTAGCAAGCAGGATTATGTTACTACATATCATAGATTGTTAATGAGTCTTCCTCCAATCCTGAAGCCAAATTCTTCTTATAGTCCAGCTTCTCAGAGTGTTTGCTCCACAAACAGACTGAACAAATAAAGTGTCACACCTCGACACACCTTTCCTAATCGTAAACCGTGAGCCCCTTGTTTTGTATCAACTATGGGTCTCTTGGTCTGTATTTAGATTCCGCATTAGTACAAGTAAGTGTTCCGGAATCTTCGTTCTTCAAAAATGTTGTCCATAATTTGTTATGATCCACATTGAACTAAAAAATGCTAACTCTTGCTGTCTAATTGGAACCAACTCATAGCAGACCTGCCGTGGATTTTCAGAGGCTGTAAATCCAACAGGAAGGGATTACCCATCTTTCTCTCACAGAGCCACCTAGTCAGTCAGTGAAGAATTGATAGCTTTGAATTAGGGTATTGGCGAAGAATACTGAATATATACCATGGACTGCCAGAGGAAAACCCAGTCTGTTTTAGAAGTGCTACTGGAATGATCCTTCCAGGCAAGGATGTTGACACTCCACATACTTTGCACATAACAGGATGGAGCAGTCCCTGGGGAGGGACATCATGCTTGGTAAGGTCAGAGATAAAAGATGATAATCCTTGATGTGATGGACTGACCCAGTGCTGTACCGATGGGCTCAGAGAAAGCGAGGACAGTGAGGATGGCGCAGAAGCAGGCACTGTTTGTGTTCATAGCGTCAGTATGAGTGGCAGCCAGCTCCACAGCACCTGACAGCAGATACACCAACAGCCCCATTGGGTCAGGGTCTGGCGGCTCACTGGCCTGTGGCTGAATTCAACGGCCTGCAACTAGAAGGTCACTGAATTATGTGGGATTCTGACCTCTTTCTCTTGTTTTATTAACTGATTTCATATGTATCAGAGATAGATAAATTTATGTTGTTGTTTGTTGTTGTGTACCATAGAGTTGATCTGGACCCGACCCACAGCTGACCCTCTGGCAGGTTTTCAGAGACAGTTAATTACATGGGAGGCAATTGCCCATCCTTCCTTCTCCTGCGGAGCAGCTGGTGGCCTCGAACTATGTGCCTTTGGGATTTGCAACATAGCTTTTTGCCACTAGGCCATCAGAGCTGCTGAGGGAATCTCTCTTGCTATAATTTCTATCTATATGTACGGCCTAATGGTCAGATCCACCAGCTGCTCCACTGGCAAAGAAGGGGCAGTCTCCTCTGATGTGTTTTACTCTGAAAACCTGCCAGAGGGTCAGCTATGAGTGGGTTCCACCTCAGTGTCATACAATAAGCACATATATATATCAGTCACAATACTCAACGTGAACATTCCGCATGCTTTCTTAACTTCTAAGTTAGTGAGATGGGGAGTGACGATGAGTGATGCCTTGAACAGTCTCCTTTTTGTCTTGCAGCCTGGATTCACTGTAGTGTTTGTGACCGCTGTGCTGTTCCCTATCATTCCTGCGAGGGGCCTGGAGACGGCTGCTTCGTCTGCGGTGCTTTAGGCCACAAGCGCACCACTTGTCCCAACATCTCTTCGAAGAGGGAACACAAGTTAGTTGAATTATTTTATTTACTAGACTTGAGTGACTCAGACAGAACAAGCCATAAAAACTGACAGAGGAGTCAGTTCACTCTTGTTGAAAAGACATTAACAACATTTTTAAAGTCACAATCTCTAATCATATATTAAAAGATTATGGATTGTTTGCATAGATGGTAGGAGGGGTGGGTGTGAAGATGAGGCCAACACATTCACAGTTTTACAGGATGTCGTTGTTGTCACATATTGTCGAATCAGAACTGAATCATAGCCAGCCTTCCAGCGAGTATTCAGAGGCAGCAAATCTCATGAGAGATTGCCCATGTTTCTCCCACAGAGCAGCTGGTGGATTAGAACTGCGTGTCTTTAGGTTGGCAGCGCAGCTCCTTAACCACTAAGCTATTTAGCTCCCTTTTACAGGATAAGACATGAAAAGTTATAAATTGTAAGGCAGGAAGTCATTCACTTTCTATCTCCTATTCCCAGTCAGAGAAAGAAAAAAGCCCAAGATGGACTGACACAGTGACTAACCACGGGCTTGAGCTCATCAGAGCTTGTGGGGGTGGCGCAGGACAGGGCATGGTTCAGGTCGGTGGGCATAGGATCACTTGATGACACTGAGTGCCATTTGATGCCACCTAACAACATGCCCATCTGTAAAGAGGAAGAGAGGTTACACTTCACTGTGGGACTTCACTAGAGGACTCATGAAGCCAGGCCTCTAGAAACAGATCTGGTTGAGGCCCGTGGGGGCAGGGGAAGCAGGAGAAATCATCTAAGACTGAATATAACGTGAAATTCCAAAGACATCTGTCAGATGATCTTAGTTCTTGAAATTGAATCAGACCCTAGGAAAGTTTTTAATGTTTGAAATTTTTGTTATTATTCTTTATTTCTCTTTACAGTTTCTTTCTATATTTGGTATTGATTTTAAGTCAGAGAAAATATGTACCAGTGGCAATAGCATGATAAGGAAACCGTTGCTGTTATTTGAGTGATTATAATGATTTTTTTTCTTTTTTACTAAAAGGCTGATAAGGATTGTGTTCTTGTTTTATTGATAAGAAGACTGAGATTCTCCCCTAAGGCCTCACAGTGGGTTTTTATTACCATATACTCACATTTAATTGTACACAAACATTGAGATCAAGATAAAACTTTCTGAGCTGTGTTATATGAGTTATGATTGAAGTACCCAACTCTCTTAGTATTAGGTGTGTAGGATTCATTAGTTTATCTTAAGTTTGCATTAAAATTCTTTTCTACTTCTTGATTTATTTTTACTTCCTTAGGAAATTTTTTTCACATTAAGACCCAGCCACTTGAACTCTACCTCCTATTTAAATTGCCTCTCCCATTTACTTTTCATCACATTTATTCTAGTTTAAATAATTATTTCCATTAAGTAACTCAGAGTGGCAGTGGAATTTTAAAAAATCAACTGATGAGGCTGTCGCGCAGGCTTCTAAGTCTGAGAAAGTCAGTAGTGAGCTTCACAGGTTTGTTTGAAGCGTGTGAACTCGCTTCGTCGACAGCAGGGCACCGAGGAAGCCTCGCAACAGCCTGTCTAGTTCCAGTGCAGAAGCCAGGAAATGGTTTCATTTTTTTTTTTTTTTAAAACATCGAAAATGTTTTCATTTTTTCCATTGTTGCACATTTTCTTCCTCCTCCTCTTGCCCCTCCCCCAGGCCTTCCCGCAGTGCAACTCTTGTTCCAGATTGTTGTCATACATATAATGCCTAATTATATATTCCTTTCCAACAGTTCTTCCCCTCATCTGATCTAATGCAGTGTTCATTATCTATCCGCTCTTCCCATTCTCTCCCCAATCCCGCAGGTCTGGCCTGTTTTATAACACTGGTGTTATTCACTGTTTGTCCTTTTGTGACTGAGGTGTTTCACTCAGCCTAGTGTCCTTCGGGCTCTCCCAGGTTGTATGTTTTATAAATCCACTGTTTTTCAATGTTGCGTATTATTCCACAGAATGAATGCACCATAGTTTTTCTGTTTACTTGTTTGTTGATGGGCATAAGTTGTTTCCATCTCTTTGCTGTTGTGAATAACACAGCAGTCAACATGGGTATATGTGTATCTGTTTGAATCATTGCTCTGGTTTCTTTAGGATATATTCTCAGCAGTGGTATTGCTTGGTCAAGTGGTATTTCTATTTCCAGCTTATGGAGAAAGCGCCAGATTGCCTTCCATAGTGGCTACACCATTTCACCATTTTACCGTTCCCATCTCACCAGCATTTGTTGTTTGCTGGCCTGTTGAACTTTGCTATTGTTGTTTGGATGAGATACCGTCTCATACCTGTGTTGACAGCCTCCTTTTAGAGCAAGGGGATCCGAATCTACAGTTAGTGTTGGTCAGTGGTTCAAGTCTACGTCTTCAGATTTCTGGTTTTCGTTTTTACTTGTTGGAGGCCTCGAAAGATTCACAATAAGTGGGTCCTGTGAGCTAAGGTCCAAGATTGGCAGCAGCTGGCGGAATCTTACTCCTTTCTCTGCCTCCTTTCAGCTTCTTATTGTTGTTAGGTGCCATTGAGTTGAGTATGACTGATTAACAACACAGACCTGACACCTGCCCTGTCCTGTGCCATCCTCACAAGCTGACACACTCAAGTCCGTTGCTGCAGTAACTATGTCAGCCGTCCTGGTTGAGGATCTCCCTCTCCTTTACTGTACCCGCATCTTTCCAAGCCTGATGTCTCTCTCCAAGGAATAACTTCTCCCAGAAGTACTCCCTAAGTATGTGAGATCAGGCTTCATCATCTTTGCCTCCAAGGAGCACTCTGGCTGCACCTTCTCCAACACTTAATCTATTTGTTCCTTTTGTTCGTTTGGCAGTCCATGGTATCTTCAGCCCTGTTCTCCAGTGCTGCAATTCACAGGCAGCATCTCTTATACTGTCATTCTTACTCATTGTCCAGCTCTATTCAGTCACATTCAGCTAATGAGAAATTTTAACTCCATTTGTGGACTTCAGTTCCACATCACAACACACAGTGTGACATCAAAAATAAGTTTGCTGTGTCTTTTCTCCAGGGTTAGAGAGTAACCAAATGACCTGTTTTATTTTCCAGGTTAGAAATTAGAGACTATTTAGATTTACATTCTGTGTCCTGGTGTCAGTGTGCCAGGCTACACTCTTGCTAGTGGTTACCTTGGTGACAATTTTCTTCAGAAAAAATTTATAATAAAATTGACAAGGCAAAATTACTTTTATTCTTTGAATTAGTAAATATAACTTGACTAAGTCTTTTAAGCGTATAGAAGGTGCTCTGGAGGGGTAATGGCTGTGGGTTGAGCTACTAGTAGAAAGGTCGGTGGTTCAAAACCAACATGAGGTGGTCAGCTCCAGTAGATACTTACAGCCTCAGAAACATGATGGAGGATCACCATAAACTGACAGAGACTGGGTGGAAGGGGCTTTTGATTTTTTCTTTTAGGTATCCATAGTATAAAACCTAGTTTTTTAAAGCTCATTCCTTTTTTTTTTTTTTTAAAGCTCATGCTTTTTCACAGCTGTTCTCTTTGAATTTCTTTTTCCCTTATTCTCATTTTCTATGGTGTGAACAGGAATGATGCTAGCTCCCCCTTGTGGCCAAAGCTCTTTCTGTCAGTTACATAAATAAGACTCTAGCTGGCTTTAAATTTAAGGCAAAAGCAAAACAGTTAATTAATTTATATTCAGTTCAATTCGCCACAGTTTACAGATTTAATGTCTAGAAAGTTTTGTTTATACATATTTCGGATGAATGTATTTTTAAAACTTCTCCATCTATTTCAGTTTCCCCTCGTGAGATCTGGTTATCTTGTTCATTTTCGGTCCTGCATATTCGTGAATGAGCCAAAGAGAAATTAGTTTCAATATTTTTGCAGAGGCGTGCTAGCTTCGTTGACTCTGCCATCAAGAGATTATGCTATACTTCATTAAATTTGCTAAATCATCATTTACTAGGAAATTATCTTACATTTAAAAATTGGCTAGAGCAAAGAGGAAATTTACATAACATGCAGAAAAGTATAAAGATGACGGTTTTATTTTTCTATTCCCATCTGTAGTGCCAAGTGTAAATAGGGAACTTTGTAAGCTTGTCAAGCAAAACCAAGTACCATTGAGTAGGGTTGAACCACTAAAATTGTTGTTGTTGTTAGGGACCATCGAGTTGAGTGGAGTACAATTCATAGTGACCCTATGAACAGCCATCCTGAACCCTGTCCTGTCCTGCGCCATCCTCACAATCTCTGACACAATCAAGCCAATTGCAGCAGTCACTGTGCCAGTCCACTTGGTGGAGGGTCTTCCTCTCCATCACCATCCCTCCAACCTCCAAGCATGATGGCCTTTTCCAAGGAATAACCTTTCCTAGCAGCATGCCCAAAGTAGGTGAGACAAAGCTTCATCTTTGCTTCCAAGGAGCACTCTCACTGCACCCTCTCCAAGACAGACCCGTTCTTTTGGCAATCCAGGGCATCTTCAGCACTCTTTTCCAACACCACAGTTCAAAGACAGGAATTCTTCTTCGGTCTTCCTTATTCATTGTCTAGCTCTCAGATGTATGGCAAGTGACTAAAAAAGACCATGGCCTGAATCAAATGTACCTTAGTTCTCAAACTGACATTGAACACAAGGCCTGAAGCCCCTCTACAGCTATCTACATTTATCAAAGTTCACAGAGTTTCTGGAGGCAAATTATTTAGGAAGTGGATGCCATTCCTGCTTTCAAACCTTTCATAGTATGTTATTGTACGTGTCTTTGAGTCGCCTGTGATAAATAGCAACCTTATGTAAAGAAGCCCTGAACCCTTCCCTGTCTGGAGCCAGTCTCACTAATTCTGACACACCAACCCCCATGGACACACCAACCCCCATCGCCCCAGTTACTGTATCAATGCATCTCAGCCAGGGCCCCAGTTACTGTATCAGTCCATCTCATCCAGGGTCTCCCTCTCCTGCGCAGTCCCTCCACCCTTCCAAGCATGATATCCTTCTCCAAGGACCAATCTCACCTGGCCACGTGCCCAAAGTAAGTGAGGCAGAGCTTCAAAATCCTAGCCTCCAAGTAGAGACTGGTTTCGCCCTCTCCAAGACAGACCTGTTTGGTTTTTTGGCAGTCCACGGTATGTTCAAGACTCTTCTCCAGCACCACAGCTCAAAGGCATCTATTCTTCTGTCATCCTTAGTCATTGTCCAACTCTCTGAAGCATAACAAGTAATTGAGAAGACCGTGGCCTGGATTAGGTGCACCTTTGTATCCAGGCTGACATCGTTCCTCTTCAGCACTCTGGAGAGGTCCATGACTAGTTAATGAATTATTACCATGTCCTTGGCATTTTTCGTACCTGAGTGACTTATGGTGGGATAAAGCATTTGGTGGCTGAACGAAAGGTACTTGTTTCGAACCGACCAGCTGCCTGTTGGGTGAAAGCTGTAGCAGTCTGCTATTGTAAACGTTTCCAGGCTAGAAACTCCATGGACGGTTCTGCTCCCACAGGCTTCTGTGAGTCAGAATTGGCACGAGGCGGTGGCTGGGGTGGGCCGTGGTTTACTGGCTCCAGCGTAAGAGCACAGGCTCTGGAATGAATCTCACTGCCACTTCCTCACTGAGTGATCAGAGACTTTCATAGTCTTCATTTCTTTGCTAAAAGAAGTGAAGGGAAGGCAGAAGAGGGTGATGTCTGTCTGTTTTGGCTCTGTCAAGATAAAGATTATGCCCTTTTTTTTTGTTTTATTCCCACTGTGGACCAAATGAACAAAATTGAAATTTAAGTGTTGTCCACTGTTGTTTTGTGTCGTCAAGTCAACTACGCCTCATGGAGACCCTACAAACGGCTCTGAATCCTGCCCTATCCTGAGCCAACCTGTCTGTGACACACCTGCCCTCATTGCCACAGTCACTGTGTCGGTCAATCTCAGCCAGGGTCTTCCACTGCTGCACTGACCCTCCGCCCTTCTGAGCCTCAGATACTGTAGTAAAGCTGAGCTCCCAAATTAACACAGGCAGGGAAGAAGGATTGGCCATGCACTTCTGGAACAGCAGGTCTTCAAAAACCCTGTGAACAATGAAAGTGGTTCACAGGGCAAATGTGTCCATGTTTGTGAGAGCACCTAAAGTGCACCTGATCCATCCAGGCCTTGGTCTTCTGAATTGTTTACAGTGTATCTGAGAGCTGGACAGTGACTAAAGATAACAGAAGAAGAATCAATGCCTTCGCATTGTGGTGCTGGAGGAGAGTGTTGAATATACCATGGACTCCCAAGAGAACAGACAGGTTTATTCTGGAGAAAGTGAAGCCATGTGGCTCCTTTAAAATCTGTAAAGCAAGGATTTATAAACTGTTGCCTATTCTGCGGTCATGTTGTTTGGAGGAGCCTTGGAGAAGGACGTGATGCTTGGACGCATAGAAGGGCGGCCCAAGAGAGGAAGGCCCTGGATGTGATGGACGGACACCGGGACTGTGGCAGTGGGGTCAAGTGTGTGGGAGACGGCGAGGCTGGCTCAGCGTAGGGCAGGTTTCAGAGCCATTGTTCACAAGGTTGCTGGGAGCCGTAGTCAACTCAGTGGTACCTAACAACAGCAACAACACATCGGGTGATCAGTAATACCAGGCAGGAGTTTACGTCTGAGAATAGTCAGACAGACACGCTACAAAGGGCAGCGCGTGCCCAGGGGCAAAACCCAAGAGAAGTGAAGAGATGGGAAAGAAGGCAGAGAGGAAGCTGGAAATGGGAGGCGGTCGGAGGATGCAGTTACGATGTGGAGGTTGTGGTTGATGTCAGGAAACTTAGTGTGCATGGATTATAGGATGACAACCAACTTTACCTGTAAACCTTTACTCAAATAGCAATAAAAGAGTTTTTTAAAAATCAGAATGAGTCCACCTAGCCCTGTGGAGTGAGCAGGCGTCCTGCCAACACTCCATGAACATCTTCTATGGGATTGGGCTAAATCATGGAAAGGGTGGATGAACAAGCAGACCCAGCATCTGTCAGCACGGGCTTTTGGTCCAGTCTTCTCTGGACTGCTCTCAGTGCCCGGGCCCCACTCCCTGGGCACCATCCTCAGTGGCGGAAAGCTCCCTCGGGTTCTTTCATGTTCAGAATTCCATGTTGAGTTCTGATTTCTTAATTAACATCAGTTGGCAGGGAAATATTCAAAGTGATGATAAAAAAAATATGAACCCCTTATAAAATATGCTTATCTAAAAATGAGCACCGTCATTTTTCCCCCATTGTACTATTTCATTATTACCTTTGCTAACTGCCAAATGTTTGGGGCCATTCTAAAAACATGAAATTCAGGGACTTTGAGATTGAAATGCTGGGTATGGATATACTGCAGGAGGAAAATAAATCCCTAACACATTGGCTCAACTCTACCTCTGTGACACGTTTGTGCTGGATAGATGGTTCTGAATCTGTACTAACCGTCTCTCGAAGCCATTTCTATTCTCCAGGACTTTGCTTGGTCAGCCTTCTGGCAATCTTCTTGTTATTATGGTTAAGCTTCTGTGGATTTACGCTTATAATACAGTAACTTCTTTCCCTCCTTCTATTTTTCTTATTTGGTTCGGTAGTTAATTAAGCCTCAACATAATTACATAATTCACCGTATTCATTCTGGAAAATAATTTAGCACCTTGTTTTTCAGAGCTGTCAGGAAGGAGAAGCAAAGAAAAAGGAAGAAAATGAAATTGGCAAATGCTAAAGGACAGTGCGTGAATCATCCGCCCGCGCCCAGGAGGAAGGAGAGGAGGCAAGGTGCTCATCAGTGTCCTGGCTCTTAAACGTCCGGTGGCTAGAGAAGAGCAGGGATTTATCATCCCGCCTTTGATGCCATTTCCTGCAAGGGCCACCCGTGGACACTTCAGTCTGGTCACTTGCAGAGGCACGCACCTGGCTAAGCCCGAGCGGCGGGCCACGTTGGCTGCTGCTTGGACCCTTCGTCAGTCTCCACAGACCTGGGGAACGTCCTGGCCCTCCTGGCTGACTGACACCCTCTGCACACCTTTGTCTTCCGTTTCAGTCATGTCATTTTATGAAATCCAGAAATTTCCTTTTCTGGAAAATGGGTGTCTAGTCTTCTTTTGCAGGAAATGTCAGATGAAAATGGCAGTGAAAACTTGAGGTTTCATTTACATTGACCAGAAAGGTCTGCTGACTGAGAGATGGGAACATTTGAAGTTAACTGTGACATTAATACAGGATGGTTTTCAACTCCTCTTGGATGGGAATGCACGACATGCAGTTATTTTCCAACTGCATCTGAAGATGATGGGGAAGCTTTTTCACAAAAGCAGAATGAGGCTAAAAACATTATCATTACGATGACCTTACAGTTAAATATTCATTGTAAAGTACATTTGTAATTGTCTTCAGTGTACAGAATCATTTAAGTGTTTGCTGAATAAATGAGACATGGAGAAGTACAACTCGCTCTGGTGTCTTGGGCCTTTTAATCAATGCAGTTGTTTTTATTTTCTGTCAAGTCAGTACCAACTCATGGCTAACCTTCCAGCAGGCCGGAGGCTGTGGATGGCAGGGGAGAGGAATGCCCACCTTTCTTACAGAGCAGCTGGTGGGTTTGAACCATGTGCATTTAGGTTGGCACATATTTACCCCTTCCTTGGAGAAGGACACGATGCTGGGAAGGGTGGAGGGTCTGTGAAGGAGAGGAAGACCCTCAACCAAGTGGATTGATACAGTGACTGTTTCAGTGGGCTCTTTTGTGTCAGGAATTGTGAGGATGGCGCAGCATAGGACAGTGTGCAGATTGGTCATTCATAGGGTCACTGTGAGTCATCCTCGATGGCAGTTGAGGAATAGCCAAGTTTGTTTTAGTCATTAAGACACAGGTGCCTGCAGACAGTGTCCTCTGTCATCTGTGAGGAATGGAAACAGATGATGATTTCTCTGGAGGACTGATGTTGACCATCTGCAAATGCAGCCTCATAGCACTGAGGGGAGAGCTTTGAACATGGCTCTGAACTCTACATGGACCAGCCGGCCTCGGGCCTCAGGAAGCAGGCGGAAAATGCTCTTGCCTCATTTGCCACATAGGTTGCTATGGTAATAGGAGGGCTGGACTTGGAAGTGATTGGATAAATTGTAAGGTTTCCTCTCTCTCTGACCCAGGCCTGGACATGCTATGGTGTCTTCTGCACCTGGCAGCTGTCACATCTCAAGTATTGGTGTCTCCTGCTTGTTTTAAGTGTCTTTCACTTTTATGGAAGAGCCTTGCTGTCTCTTTTTGCTAACTGGATTTTCGCATTACGAAGAAAGTTGAAAAGCAAACAAGCATGCAGCTTTGGTTTGCAGGGAGCTCTTAAAGAGGCAGCAGAAACCTGAGTGAGAGTGGTCTTGTGAGGCATTCCCCTGGAACAGCTCACACGTCTCAGCCTCACACTAGTATGACTTTGAACTGTTTGTGGCGCTGGATTTTTTATTTCCAGTTTTGTGTTCTGTTTATGGGGTCATTTAGGGGGTCTGGGAACACTCACAAATGTTCTCATACGAATTAATGGTAATTGTTTCCTCCATTTATTCCACTTCATAGGCACACTCTGCTTTCAGATTCAGCTAGTGGGGGAACCCGTATCTGCTTCTGAAACCCACTTCTGAGAGATCATGACTACTGAAGAACTGGATTCTGAAGGCAAATGGTTATTATCATCATAGGGTTTCCTTCATTTTAAGGCACTTCTGTTTCATTTGAAATATACTTTCATTAAAAGTATATTTAATAGAACTATTACTAGGAGACGCTGTCCCTTGGAGAAGGACATGATGCTTGGAAAGGAGGAGGGATGGACGAAGGAGAGGAAGCCCCTCAACTAGATGTATTGACACGGTGACTGCCACAACAGGCTCTAGTGTGCCTGAGATTGTGAGGATGACACAGGGTGGGACAGGGGGCAGATCTGTTGTTCACAGGGTCACTTTTCATCATACTCGAAGGCATCTAACAACAGCATGCTGGTGCAACAGTTTTCATGGAGGACCCAGTCCTTGGAGGGAGACATCACGCTGGGAAAAGCAGAGGATCTGTGAAAGAGAGGAAGACCCTCAGCAGACAGATTGGCCTGGTGACCGCCACAGAGGCTTGAGCATGACGAGACATCATGAGGATGGTGAGGGATAGGGAGAGGTCAGACGTGTTGAATCGGGTTGCTAGGACTCATACTCGACTCGAAGGCATCGAGCAACAATGATGTTAATCTTACTGGCCGATCATCACCTGCAATCAGTGCCCAATTATCACCAGCAACTATTCCCAACTTTTTTAAAAAAATTTTTTTTAATTTTATTTTATTATTTTGTGTGTGTGTGTGTGTG